TGATTAGCATCCAGTGAAAAGTATGTCATTTTAACCAATTTTATCATACTTTCCTGACATTGCTCAAGTTGATATACATTTATTAAGTCTCCCAAACGAAGTTTGGGAAGACTTATTGTTTTTGCTCAGTTCTTATTATTATTATTATTCTTCTTCCTCTTCCTCTTCCTCTTCCGCCGCTTTTAAATTTGAACTTGTCCGCACCCGTTCTCCAAAACCGCTTGTCAGATTAACTTAGGGTTTCACAATATGTTAGACTAACATGTCTAGTGGTGCAATCAGGGTTTTGTTTGTGCAATGGGGTTTATAAAGGGGTACTTTGAGGGGCAAAAAGAAAAGAGGGTTTTACTATAGAACCCTATGGGATTTTATTTTTTAAAATTTTCAAATGATTATAAATTGAAAACCGTGTGTGATAGACACAATCTTTTTAATTGAAAATGTTCTAAATGATAAAACCCATTAAATGAAATACAGGGTTAGTCCCCAGGGGTCATCCCCACCCCCTGCCATTTAAGAAAGTTCTAATACCTTGTAAGTGGTCAAGATCCCCACCCCTAAACCATATATATTCTGGTTTGTCATGCTAAGATGGTTTGAATGATATACAGGGTTAATCCCCAGGGGTCATCCCGACCCCCTGCCATTTGAGAAAGTTCTAATATCTTGTAAATGGTCGAGATCCCCACCCCTAAACCATATATATTCTGGTTTGTCATGATAAAGCACATGAAATGAAATACAGGGTTAGTCCCCAGGGGTCAACCCCACCCCATGCCATTTAAGAAATTCTAATATCTTGTAAGTGGTCAAGATCCCCACCCCTAAACCATATATATTCTGGTTTGTCATGCTAAGATGGTTTGAATAATATACAGGGTTAGTCCCCAGGGGTCATTCCGACCCCCTGCCATTTGAGAAAGTTCTAATATCTTGTAAGTGGTCAAGATCCCCACCCCTAAACCATATATATTCTGGTTTGTCATGCTAAGATGGTTTGAATGATATACAGGGTTAGTCCCCAGGGGTCATCCCAACCCCCTGTCATTTGAGAAAGTTCTAATATCTTGTAAATGGTCGAGATCCCCACCCCTAAACCATATATATTCTTGTTTGTCATGCCAAGATGATTTGAATGATATACAGGGTTAGTCCCCAGGCATCACTAATGCATATAACTTTACTGGACCAAACCAATTTTCACTGGACTTTGCCAAATGTCAGGCGACCCTGGGAATTACGAATTATGGGAGCTTCGTTTGGGAGACTTCGTAACAGCATCCTGTTACAATCATTTCTTGTTTTTACATTAAGTTTTTGTACACTGACTGATATATGGTACATGTGCAATTTTAATTATATGATGGGATAAAACTAATTTTAATTTTATATCATATCTGAGAAATAAGAAGATTTATTGCATTTTTTTCATACATTCAATAAGTTTTGAACTCTAAATCTAATAGATATGTAAGTGATTTTACAGGTTTTTTGACAAAATAACATCTGGTGCTTATCTCATTGATGATATTCAAAAGATTTATAACACATTAATTTTTCAAAATCAAGTCCTCATAGAAATGCCTTTCCATACCTTCTCTTCTAGGAATGTAAAGTAAATACCTATGATATCAATGTTGATATTGAGATAATTATATTCTGAAGCATAGCCTCTCTATATTGAAGGTTTATACTTTTTATGCCCTGCCTAGGATAGTAGATGGGCATTTTGTGTCCTGGTTTTTTATACGCCCGTTTACGGGACGTATTATGGTATATTGTTGTCTGTCTGTCCGTCCGTCCCTCATCAACATGTTGGACTATAACTCAAAAACGCTTTAACCAATTTGCATGAAACTTTGTTGAATTGTTTATATCTATTGACGTAAGCTTCCATTTTGATTTTTATAAATTTTAGATTTTACGTTTCCGAGTTATGGGTTTTTATTCATTAAAAAAGGGGGATTTTCCAGTTTTCCGACAATAACTCAAAAATGCTTTGAGCAGTTTTCATGAAACTTTGGTGAATTGTTTATTACTATTGACGTAAGCTTCTATTTCGATTTTTATAAATTTTAGATTTTATGCTTCCGAGTTATGGTTTTTTTTTTCATTAGATAAAGGGAATTTTCCAGTTTTCAGACAATAACTCAAAAGTGCTTTGAGCAGTTTTCATGAAACTTTGGTGACTGGTTTATATCTATTAAGATAACCTCCCTTTGGTTTTTTTAGTAATTTCTGATATAACATTGAAGAGTTATGGAACTTTATTATACCCCACGCAACGAGTTGCGGAGGGTATCATGTTTTTGACCCGTCCGTCCGTCTGTCCGTCCGTCTGTCCGTCCGTCCGTCTGTCTGTCCGGCCGTCCGTCTGTCCGTCCATCAGTCCGTCAGTCCTGTTTCTTGTCATCGCAACTCCTCTCAAACCACACAACAGAATTTCATGAAACCTTTTCAGATAATAAGGACATACTACGTAGATGTGCATATCGACAGGAAATTATGATTCAATTTTTTTTCCAGGAGTTACGCCCCTTTGAACTTATTTGCCCAATATACTACTGCAACCTTTTGTCATCTCAACTCCTCTCAAACCACACAACAGAATTTCATGGAACCTTTTCAGATAATAAGGACATACTACGTAGATGTGCATATCGACAGGAAATTACGATTCAATTTTTTTTCCAGGAGTTACGCCCCTTTGAACTTATTAACTTTAATGTACTACTGCAACCTTTTGTCATCGCAACTCCTCTCAAACCACACAACAGAATTTCATGAAACCTTTTCAGATAATAAGGACATACTACGTAGATGTGCATATCGACAGGAAATACGATTCAATTTTTTTTCCAGGAGTTGCGCCCCTTTGAACTTATTTGCCCAATATACTACTGCAACCTTTTGTCATCGCAACTCCTCTCAAACCACACAACAGAATTTCATGAAACTGTGTAGATAATAAGGACATACTATGTAGATGTGCATATTGACAGGAAATTATGATTCAGTTTTTTTTTCTGATACAATTTTTTTTTCTTGCACTTATTTTATTCCTCCAATGACAATGTGGGGACGTGGGGTATGTGAGCGCGCTCACTAAGGTTCTTTCATTAATTAAAAAAGCAATTGGCGTATCATGTGCTCATGGCGCAGCTCTTTATTGAGTCTTCTGTCCCTCTGTCCATCCATTAGTCCTGTATCAGGTTAAATGTTTGGTTTAAGGTTGGTTTAGGGCTAGATTGTGGTCACATCACCCTGAAATTTAGTTCACATGTTCATTATGAGGTTGATTATTTAATATTTATGCCAAATTAGGGGTTTTACTCAGATTTAACAGTTCACCGAACATAGAAATGTGATAGTGCCAGTGGGGCATGGTTGTTCCAATGGACATATATTTTTGTTTAGTTTCAAGATGCATTGAAATTACAGGAGGATTTTATAGAAACAGTCATTTGATAAGTATGTAAACTTGAGGGAGGTTCTCCATTGTGCAAGTTTCTGTTTAAAACTTCTTCCTCTCTACTTGAAGATTACAATTTGCAGAAAATCTGGATCAGTTGATAATGAAAATAATAACTACTTTGGGTTTTTTAACCAAAAATTATATCCTTCAACAGAGTCGATAATGTCCTGGTCTCACTAGTAGTCACATTATTGGAAGTTCAACTTCTGTACACCAATATTGCTGCTGTTTTATATTGAAGTGAACCATTACCACATGCTTTGTATATTTTTGAACTGATGAAGTTAGATAACTCTGTTAACACTTTTGAGGGGCTCGAAATGGGAGTCTTTTTATGATTTAGAAAAGGAATACATGGGGATAAAGTAAGTAGAAAATATAATTTTTCCTGACTTTGATGTGCACTATCCTCAGATGTATCAATAAGTAGTGGGAGAAAACCTATAAGTGAGGTAACATGCCTTCATAAAAGAGTGTTTTTCATACGAACGCAAAAAATTTTGCGGTCATATATTGATATCACGTCATCGTCAGCGTCGTCCGAAGACATTTGGTTTCTGGACAATAACTTGTGGAACGGTGTATGGATCTCTCTGAAATTATACCACAAGTTTCCATACCACAAAGGGATGGTTAGGATTGGCTTTGGGGGGTTATGGCTCAAACTGTTTAGGAATTAGGGGGAAAAACAAGGGTTTCCCGGTTAATGGACAATTAAAAAAAAGTACGATGTTATGTTTGGACTACCTCTCTTACACTGCTTTTAATAAAGAAATGTTGTATTGTCTTGAGGTGATAAGCTGTCAATTTATTTTTAGAAGTTACTATTTAAAAATGCTGATTAAGGAATATTAATTTTAGCCATGATTATATATGTCATTTTCTATTTTAAGACTTTTATGATGTATTTAAATGGGTAATTATGGTTGCAAACTCCATTGGAAATTTGAATTGAGATTATGACCATATCTTGAAGGAAAGAATTTTTTTTTTTTTGGAAAAAGGGGGATGGTGAAACAAAAATTGGGGGGGGGGGGGGGTAAAAAGAAATTGTGAGGGGGGCATACATTTTTTTCTCATTTCAGATTTCAGAAATTGAAAAGAAAATTTATTCAAATATTTTTTTTTTGCCAAAAAAAGGGGGGGGTAAAAAAAATACATGTATCATGAGGAGTTTGCCAAAAAAGGGGGGGGGAATAATTTTTGGGAGGGGGGGGATCAATTCGCAACAGCATAGTGTATTGCACAAAAGCAAAAAATTGAATATAAATTCAAATCATATAACCAATTCTAAGTACAGTTATTCTGTGTCAGAAACCTATTATGTGTCAAATATTTAATTACAATCCAAATTCAGACCTGTATCAAGCGTGAATATTGTGTCCATTTTTGCCCAAAATGTTCAGGGTTGGACCTCTGCGGTCGTATCCAGCTGTGCCTGGCGAAGCAATTTTTTTTTTTTAATTTTGGAAATTGTGGGGCTTAATACATGTATAACTCATAATGGCATGTTAATTTATTTCAGAATTCAATGTCAGTGATAACTAATGCTTATGTTGATGTATCAGTGAAAGATGCCAAACATTTTGACAAGTTCCAATTTGAAAGGGTTGGTTTCTTTAGTGTGGACACAGACACACATCATTCTAGGGTAAGTAATGTAAGACAATACTTTAGTGTGGACACAGACACACACCATTCTAGGGTAAATAATGTAAGAAGATACTTTAGTGTGGACACAGACACACATCATTCTAAGGTAAGCAGTTTGTAGTGTCTGATAATTAATAAACACTGAAGTGAATTTCACTGAGTCACTTGGAATACAAAAAAATTACCATGATTGTTGCATAACTCAAAAGTTACGCTGTAAGTTAAGCTAAGATTATTTAAAATGCTCTGGACAGGTAAGCATATCCTGCTCCATATGTTGACAAAAATCAGTTCTTTTATATACTGTTAATTAAACAATTTGTTCAAGTGATTTATTTTCATCAATTTCGGGAGTTTGATGATTTGTTAAAAAGATTATCGCGACAATACAACCTGCTATGTCGACCAAGAGGGCAAAAGGCAAATAATGATTCATTGAAAATAAGTAAGTTTACAGTATGCTTACATAACTGGAACCTTATTTAAACCAGGTAAAATTCATTTGTTTAAGCTCATGAAATTTTATCATGTACCTATTGCATTACATATTCTGTATAATCTAAGAAAATATATCATTTCAAGTCAATGTTTTTATTTTTCAGATGATTTTTAATAGGACAGTTACTCTGAAAGAGGATCCTGGGAAGAAATAGACAGTGCAATTAGAAACATTTTACAATGTCATCCATATCTATTTATTAAAAAGTGCTATTATTTAAGTACCATGTTTTATTATTCACTGTATAACTGTTTATTTCGATGATTTATTATCATTTCAATAGCTGGTCCAATTTGAATAAGTTTTCAGCAAAGTTGTGTTTGCATGGTTCACTATGTAATTTAAGGCATATAACTTAGTTGCTTGTCCAATATGGCCACCATAATGAAGCTTTTGTTGATGTACTAACCTGTGTGGAGAAATGTGGAAGAGTTACAAGACATTCTGGCAAACCCACAACAAACCTGACCACAGTCATCATAAGAACATGTAAAATAACCTACAACAAACCTGACCACAGTCATCATAAGAACATGTAAAATAACCTACAACAAACCTGACCACAGTCATCATAAGAACATGTAAAATAACCTACAACAAACCTGACCACAGTCATCATAAGAACAGGGTAAAATAACCTACAACAAACCTGACCACAGTCATCATAAGAACATGTAAAATAACCTACAACAAACCTGACCACAGTCATCATAAGAACAGGGTAAAATAACCTACAACAAACCTGACCACAGTCATCATAAGAACATGTAAAATAAGTTTTCTGGATATTAGCAAAAAAAAATTTACTGGTAATTTGTCCCCTTCCAATTAGTCAAAGGGGATAATTGTTATGAAGTAAGGAGTCCTCTCATTTTAACTACTCATTATATAAAGATTGTAAATCTCTAAACATGCATGTTTGCAGCTGGTGAAGTATAAATTAAACCAAATTTTAGGAAGGTTTTCAGTCTAATAAAATGCTTCTCCTTAATACTTATCATTATTACAAATTGAACAACTATATGACTTGTACAATGAAAATGGCTTGAACAAACTTCTGTATATTCTTGTAGGAAAAAATGCTGAAACAAAGAAAACTTAATCTTTTGTCATTCAGCATGACTAAAACACCAGACTTTGACATAATCTTTACAGAAGTTAAAGTCAGCAGCAATGTCACTTATTTATTTTTCTATTTGTGTATGGAAAATTATAGAAGTCCACAGGTTGTGATGGCTGTCAAAGTTCCTGTAAAAAATAAAGAAGATAAATGCATTTACCGTGTTAATTAGGTTATGCCCAATCTCCCAAATGAGTAATAATACCCAGATTAGATACTTGATTTCAAAAATAAATATTAAATAGTGCATCCTTTACACCAACAGTAGCAACTTATGAATATTGAAAAATCTGTTAGATTGATCCCCTGTCCATATTATCCGGTTAATCTTTTTAAAAAAGGATTTTATATATCTCATCCATAGATTACTACAATGTTTTTTTAACAACCTTGACTACCAACATGACCAATGAAGGTCTACCTCAGCAATCATCTTTGAAGTAAATACTTTATTCAACCAATTAATTTCACACCATTTGGTAAGTTTTTGATGCTTAATCATGAATTTGTTTTGTTTACTGTTTTATAGACTATTGTTTGATTTTAAACTTTTGGCTATGGTTTTGTTTTTCCTTCATTTACATACTTGGCTGTGAATTGCTATTTTGGTATGTTCCTTTTTTGTCTCTCCTGCAATAGATGTCGCAGAATACAAGACAGGGATGTTAATCCAGAGTCGACAGCTTTATTTGTATAAAGCTTTGTTTATCAAAAGGTAAAAGACAGTTGTCTTATATTTTGAAATTTCCATTGGTTGTATGTCTTATGTCCATGACTTCATTTTCATGGTTCATTGACTGCAGAAAATTTGTTTATAGTCATTTCATGGCATGATTTTCTCACTCATGGTTAATAGGATAATTACATTGGTTATATAGAATCATTTCAATATCTACTTGCCCATCAGACAGGATTCACCTGACTGACTTAATTTCATTGAACATCGATCAGTGATCAATTCAGTTTTTGCTGTTAAGTCTGTTTCTCAGATACCATAAGCGGAAGGTCAACTATATTCGGTGTATAGAATGATTGCAAGGTGTACATATCCCTCTGGCAGGCTACATCTGATCATCAAGTTTTCCTGTTTATCAGATACTTTAAGTAATAGTTCAATTACCTGTATTTCGGTGTAAAGAATAATTGCAAGGTGTACATGTCTCAGACTGTCTAACAGGGTATATCTTACCTTGACCTTGTGTCATGGTTCATTGGAGAATATTAAGGTTTTTCTGATTACCGGTAGGTCTGTGTCTCGGATACTGTAAGCAATAGGTGTATGAAATTATTACAAGGTGTACATCTTTGAATGGTAGGGTTTATACGACCTTCACCTCTTTTGGATGTTTTCTTACGCTACGGCGGGGGCATAAAAATTTATTTTAGATGTTCTAGGGTGTATATGTTAAAAATTATGTAAAATGTTCCTTCCAATTATCCAAAATGTTACCAAAGTTTTAACTAAAAGTTCTGAAAAATCTTTTATATAACTAACAAAATATAACAGTTAATGATAGCTGAGGCTTCCATTCACTGTAGGATATTTAAGTTCAGGTCAAGAGTTCAAACTCTTGATTTCCCATTTCAGTACTGACAAAATAGCTTTTCGATTGGTAAGAAGTTAGTCAAGATTTAAAAAAGTAATTTTGACCCAATCTCAAAGTTATTTGATGTCTTGGCCTAATCTCGAATCAGTTTGTATTTTTTTGTCCTTTCCAAGGTGAGATGATGTGGTTTTAAATAAGTAACCATGTCTATGTTACTGTCAGGAATTATAGTCTTTTTTTTTCTTTCTCTGCAGCTTCATTGAAAATTGTTTCATTTTGATAGATTGCCTTTTTTTGTGCAATGCTTTAGTTTTTCTGGAACTCTATCTAATGGACATGGAAACAGTAAAAAGAAACAGGTTTTTATTATCTATGTAACATCTGGGGGAAAAAATACTACGGGTGACGTGTGCAAATTGCATGAATCCATTATTTGCTCGATCTCATATGCTTTCGTTTCACCACATTTCTACATATTAAAGCAATATTTTTAAAACAACATGTTGAGGACTTAGAGCTTGCATTCAGTAACTACGAGGTTACTTTCATACAGTATTATTTCGTATTGTTAAACTTTTACTTGTATATATACCGGTATTGTCATCGCTTTTCTGAATTGATATTTTTATTGTGTGTTATTTTATATCATTCTGTGTACATTCTGTCATTCAACTGGTCAAGATCCAAAGTAGGAATGGACGGGTTGGTGCTCAAAGAGTTAAAATCTCACTTCAATAAAACACATCAGCATGCTTTTATAGGTACCAAAATTTTGCTCAAATTTGCCAAAAAATATAAGGTACAGATATTTGCTATGTCTTCTCCGTTCCTTATCGTTATTATAAAAGTATACTTAAACATTTGTTTTTGCATTTTTTATACTGATGCTAGTTTGCTTAACTGTGAAATACAAAAATATGCTATAAATGGTTAACCTCAGGGTGTTTTGACAACAGTTACTGTTATATTAATTCGGTTTATTCCTTGAATGCCAACATCCTTTGATCTACCGACAATTTACCTGTAAAATTATGTTGGCGTTCGAGGAATAGTTGTAAGTAGTTATCACAACTAAAGTGCATGCTTATCAAAACAATCATACTTATTAAACAGATAGGTAAATTACAGGTAGCTAAATCTGGTCCATGTTTGTCAAGTTATTGAAAATCATTTTTTGCTGTTACTGCTTGAACAAATATGGATTCTCTTAAAATGAAACTTTGAAAAGTGTTGCATCACAAAGTCAACATGTGCATATTGTCAGGAATTCCAGTTTCACAAATTCTACAATAGACTCTTTGGACTTTGATGTTTTTTTTTCAATATTTCTATAGTTGTGTGTGCTGTAATATCCACCCATTTTACTTGATGGAATTTCTTGAAATTTTGTATCTCGTGTTAGATTACTATGTTTTATTTTGTTCAGTTGTTCAGGATATTTTTCTTGGTTATAATATAACACCCTTTTTTATTGTAAGTGATTCATAATACATTGTTTAGGTGTTTGTTATGTTCGCAACTCATCAGAATTCTTGTTACCCTATTTTATGGATTTTCTTGAAACTTTGTAGAGTTGTGGATGATATTTTCATACTTTTTTCATAGCATAAAAAGAAGAAGAAAAACCAATTTTGAATAATAAATTATTTATTTGTACACAGAGCACACAGAAAACAATACATATAACATAAGCAAACATTTAGCAGATTGACAAAAAAGCACTACATATTTGATCTGATAACAATTGTTGAATAGTTTATACAAGGACTTTTCACATTTAACAGTCTATTAAAAGTGTAAAAGATACGATGCTGAGTCTGTTGTCATCTCTCTGTTGGCGTTTCGCTGTTTCAGGTTACCGAGTCTGGTCTCAATTTCTATGCATTTTCTTTTTCTGTTGATTCGTTTACCACCGGCGGCGTACTGCAGCATTTGACATCTTGAAGAAGCTTCCTTGCGTTGTAACAGCTCGATCAACTTGTAGATATTTGGGTGTGGAGTCTGGATGATTTTCTTGATCTTTGAGTGCCACCCCTCTAAGTTGTTTGTTGTTCTTGGTCCTACAGTGTTGTAATGGTTCCACAGATGACGGTTGCCTTCTACCCACTACTCGGTCACGTAGTCAGTAAATCTTGCGGTGTTGATTTAGGTATCTGCATCCTCCAAGTCTTGGAGAGCTTGAAACCAGACGTTCTCCACCAAATCTCTAATATCCGTTTTTCAGTTTGAAATAATTGTATTTAACTAAAATTTCTTTAATATTTCTAATAAGTCTTATGTTAATAAAGATTTTCCATCCCATAATATCTTTTATTTTAATAAAAAGTAATAAAAATGTTTTAATTTTCTTTATTTCTTTAAATTCATAATAATTTTAACCCCAACATATACTATTTTTTCTTCAAAAAGTGATAAAATGTTCACTAATTATTTTTAACAGTTAAATACTTATAAAAACATTTAAATAGTTATAAAAACACCTATTGTTTTATATAAACATCTATTGAAATATTTTTGTTGGCGTTCAAGGAATAGGTAACATATAAAATGTTGGCATTCGAGGAAGACACCATTAATTCTAGGTCTCAAAGATAAGTTTTCCTTTTATATTTTATTTATCATAAGTTGAGTTGTTTTATCCTGTTGGTTTAGATAGAACCGTCCGAAATAAAGAATATTTAATTCTATCTGGGTTCGCTCATTTTAAATTCACTCAAGTGTAAATTTATTTAGACTTCATTCCTTTAACATAAAAATATATCTCAAATGGCTTCTAAGTCTAGACCGAAACATAAGAATGTAAACAAATCGTTTGAAGCACTTAAGTAGATAATTACTGTTTTCATAACAATTATATTCCAATTTAGCCTATTAAATATGTTTACATTACAACACTAATGCACACAACTGTCTTATATTTAACAAGACATATTTCTTCCAATGTCTCTTGTTTTATTTGACTGTTTCCAATAATCCTGAATTTGTACAAGTAATCAAATTTTGAAATGACGACCGATGAATGATTACGTTCAAACTAGCTTGGACTTGGTGTTAGTTCTGCAATTATAGAGTCGCTTTATTTGCAATGTACATTATTTCAGTTAAAAATATCTGATTTTATGTTATGATCTTGATAATTTATGCCAAATGAAAAAAAAAATTATTCAGAAATAAAAATGGATAAAAGAACAATGTTATTAAGAAAAAAAAAATGCTTCAATCCAAAAATATACTTAAATTGAGACAAGTTGAGAAAACTTTGATATTTCATATAAAATGTTTACATTGTTTTATCAATTCATTTTATATGGTAAAATGAGAAAAGATTTTGACAAGGAAGAAACATTAATTATAATCGATCGTCTTGGGTAAAAAGGAATCAGAAAATTATGTACGGGTAGTGTGACGTGTCCTTCGGAATGTCACGTTATGATCTAGCGCGTTAGATGATTTGAAAGAGCGCAACGATTTTATAATTTCATCCTCCAGAATATGCATGATATATTTGCCACTAAACAACATCAATCATTTTAATATTATTTTTAGAATCTTGTTATTTTGAGACTTTTCAGTCTAAACGGTTACCATTGTGAATTTATTTCGGTGATGGGTAAAATGAGTTCAATTTGAAGAGAGGTTGTAGTTACTCGTAGT